TTTTACGGCTTTCCGTGCTACCTAAGTGTAAGGAAAGACCGCAGATTGCCATATGTTGCTTAGAATGATTAGGTAAATTAAAATGTCTAGCGACTGGTTTCGATGTGTCCTTGTCATTCCTTTCCACGTCTCGAAGGTGTTCTCGGAATCGGTCACCTAGTCTTCTGCCTGTTTCGCCGATGTATATCTTTTTGCAATAAGTGCAAGTTATGCAATAGATTACATTGGCGGAGGTGCACGTGAAGTGATCGGTGATCTTAATGGATCGTTTAGGTCCCGATATTTTATCAGTGTTGTGAATGAAAGGACACGTTTTGCATCGTGCACGAGCGCATTTAAAAGTGCCTGGTTGGTCATTAGTCTGAAAAGAACTTCTGACCAAAAAATTGCCTATGTTTTTGTCGCGTTTGAATGAAATGAGCGGAGGCTGCGAAAAGATAGTGCTTGTCTCTGGATCGTTTTGAAGTAATTTAAAGTTTTTAAGAATGATGGATTTAACTGAGTGGTTGTGAGGGTGAAACGTGAGAGTGAATGGAATGCGGTCGGAATCTTCCTTATGCGACGTTTGTAGTGCTGAATGTCGATCAATAAGTTGGGCGCGGTGGTAACCCGCTTGAACGACAGAAACAGGGTAACCACGTTTATCGAAAAACTGGCACATTGACTCTGATTTGTGGTGGAAATCAGAGTCATCACTACATAAACGACGAAGTCTTAGAAACTGAGAAAAAGGAATGGAATTCTTAACGTGAGATGGATGCGAAGACGAATATAACAAGTAATTATGCGAGTCTGTAGGTTTGTAATACACACTAGTGCATAAACCGTTACCTTCAATTGAAACTTTGATGTCTAAAAAGGATAAAGAATTGTCAGAAATTTCCCAGGTATATTTCAGAGCCGGGTGAAAAGAATTGACTGCGGTTATGAATTGAGTGAGCTCCTCTCTGGTAGAGGAGGTAGCGCCGATACAGTCGTCGATGTAGCGACCGTAGAGTTCAGGTTTGGACCCGTTGTATTGGCTGAAAAATTGATGTTCGACAAAACCTACAAAAAGATTGGCATAGCTAGGTCCCATTTTGGTGCCCATGGCTACACCATTGGTTTGTTTGAAGAAGTTGTTTCCGAATGAAAAACAATTGAGTGTGAGCACTAGTTCGGCTAAGCGTAGTAGTGTTTCAGATTTAGGTTCCTTATCAGTACGTTGATCAAAAAAATGTTTAAGGGCCAGAAGGCCTTCGCCATTAGGAATGACAGTGTAAAGAGACGTAATATCCATGGTGAAAAGAAGTTTGTTTTGGCCAAGGAAATTAAAGTCTCAAAAAATTTGAAGAGCGTGTTGGCTGTCTTTAATATATGATGGTATATAAAAAAGCTCTATCTATCTGGGAACTGAATTGAAATGCAAATGAAAATTAGGAAAAACACGATCCTCGCAGTGAACTGCAATTTAAGAAATTGCAGACAGTCTTCCCGTTACTAACGAGTGGCTTCGTAGCACAGTTGGTAGTGGCGCCCAACTAGTGTCTGGGTGGCAAGGGTTCAAAATCCGTTGAGGTTTGAAAATTTTTCAAGTTTCTTTTCTGCAATCACTTAAATTGCAGCTCATCGACGAGGATCGTTGCATTACTTGTGATACTTGAACTCTATTATTTCTGCGATTGTGTATGGAGAACGTAGATAAATTTTGACCTTAAAGTATTTTATTTCATGCATATACTTAGATCACAGAATACCCTATACGAAATCTGCTAGGAATAAACGACTACAAGCGTCTTACACCAAATGGTAAAACTAACTCTGAATTCTTCGACCGGCTAAAGGTTTCATACCAGCTGACAGAACAACAGAGTATTCTTGTTGCTCTTCGTTCAAATTTGAAACACACTAACTGCTTGTCAAAAGCCAAAAGAATAAACTCTAAAGATACTAATGCACATGTTAACCAGCTCTAAGTAAACGAAATCTGCTCGATCATTGAAGCTATTGTAATGATGTTTACTTTAATTACCATATTACGAGTCAATGACTGGACCATGCTTTTTAAAAAGGCTTTTGTGAGTCATCTCAAATGACACTGATCGTGATGAATGGCAGTGGGCGAAACCGCAAGGAAACCACTAGCACGAAGATCGAAGCCCTTAACATCAGCACTGATTAAGAGCAAGATAAGTCTCTATGATCTATGAATCAAGTTTGAGACGGGAAAACTGGCGCAGGTGAGGCTGTTCCATCCTTTATAACAATCATGAGAGTTACCTCAAAGCACTGTCAATCGCTTTTCCTCCACAACAGTCTCCATTTAAGAGGCAACTACAGTTGAGGTGGTTGGTTGATAAACAGAGTTTACAAAGATGGAACAGTAACCTTCTTATGGAGCTCACTCAACTCCTTGTGACACTTTGCTGCATCTGGTCGACTATCAAGTTTTTCTTGCCAGCAACGCTGCATCTGATCATGCAAGCTAGCTGGAGGCTTGTTAAAGCCTTTAACGTGAAAAGGTCTTGCACCCTCAGCCACTTTTTCAAAAAACTCATCTATATCTCCTCCCACATCAGAAAGGGCTCTCCTACCATACCACATCTCCCAGAGCATTATACCAAAGCTGTACACGTCCGCCTTGTAATCGTACATTTTGGACATGATTACTTCTGGAGCGAGATACATGCGAGTTCCCGTCATGGTACTCGTGATCGCTTTTGCTTCTTTGGAAACTCCGACATCGGCGACTTTGGCTAAATTTCCTTGCGACAGCTGTGGAAGGATAGCAAAGCATCTAATAAAATCGTCTATCTTTTTAAGGTAAACTTCATGGAAACTACCAAGGTTAATTAGAAATAGTCAAAAAGATTTTGACTGTTGCAAAGTCAAACCATATTCAGAAAGAGGTAGTCATCAGGGAAGGCCGTAAAGTAATAGATAATAATTTTTCATATTTGTCCTTTTTTAACGGCCCACACGTACGCTTGAAATTCGATCTTAATATGTTAGTTATTGCCATCAATGCACTTTACATCCCAAAGTCACACACAGCACGCTTGGGCCGCCTGTGGTTATTCGTGATTTCCAGCAAAAAAAATGATAATAATAATAACGCCTATGCCGTGTAGAAACCGAGGGATTACATGGATAGAGGGTTCTTGAGGTAGAACTCAGTATAGAGGGGACCTCTTAAAGGAGCGATGGCAAGGCAGACTGAAAAGGGAAAAGTTTAACATAACTGGAAAACTGAATAAAGGCAGGCAAAATAGGACTCGATGAGATGCGAAACGAGTTTCTAAAAACTAATCCGATTAAACATATAAAACGTTTCCACGTGCCAGTACTCATTATTTTTAACTTACCAATGCGTTTTCCAGCTTGAGATCTCTGTGAACAATACCTTGTTGGTGAATGTAATCCAGAGCATCGGCAATGTCTTTTGCCCATCCGATCACATTCTTCGCAGCAGTAGTTGCTGTTGTTGACAGACCAGGTACATTGCTTCTATCCTGAAATATGTGTTTCAACAGGTTTCCCTTGCAGAGCTCCATAACAAGAATTGCTCTCAGCTGATTTCCTTCCTTGCGCAGTGCTGCTCCATAGAACTTTACAATGGAGGGGTAATTGAGTTTCCTGCACAAAGATAACACATGTGTTAGCCCTTCACACTCTTGCATCACCATGTACATTCTCGTACTGTTATCTATACATTTACTGTGATACTGAAAAGACGAAATTGTTCAATAATCAGAACGTTGTTCAGTGGAAGTAATCTCCTTTCTTCTTATGATCTTAATATTTGATAAATCGGTGATGATGTAAGGATGAATTAGATGCTAGTCACTGATATGGACTAAAGAGTGGAAAACCATCAATGGTCCGTTTGAGAAATGGACGAAGATATGTGTCACTGAAAGAACATTTCTAATTGCTTTCGTGGTGAACCTTTAAACTTGTCTAGATTTCATTTTGTTACTCTTATCTTATTTTGGATTTTTCTTTTAACTCTTCTTTCCCATTTGATACCACACAACCACGATAAGCTCCTTAAATATGAGGGAATAATGTAATAAGGAAAATATCTCATTAGATACCAGCCGAAGGGTATCACGTGCATCCTGACACATTTGGCTGATAATGTTTTTCGAAAATATACAGTTTCAAGGTGAAACAATGACGAATGACCAACCTTAGCGTCTCTGCTTCAGAATGGAAGCCAATAGCTGTAGCGCCGTTAAGCTCTTCGTTCCACACTTTCACAGCCACACTTACGGGTTGCGCTTCTCCTTGAATCTCTAATATTCCCCGATAAACAGCAGCAAACGCTCCTCTTCCGAGAGGTGCATCATCTTGCCACTCCAAATCGTCGCAACTGATGTCCATGGTGCGGACCTCTTTGATGCCAAATAGGGCCATCTCCTTTCTTAATTTCACACTTTCCTCGTGTAACGGCTTGTAGAAAATTTCTATATCTTTCTTACAACGACTCTCATCTCTCAATTGTTGACACAACATTTTGTCCTCCTCTATGAGCTGAGGGATCCGATCTAAGACCTGTTTCAGAAAACCCTGGGCTTCCTTAAGCTGTTCCTTCACGAACGACTGTAGCTGCTGTTCTTCCGCTGCTCCCCTTAGATATTCTTCAGAAGGTTTCGCCATGAAGGCGCGCTTGTCTTTGTCGTAGTTCCTTGTTTTACTCCAGTCTTCCAACTTCTCTTTAACAGCTATGGCGCCAACGAATGGGACACTGACCACTAGGACAACCAGACCGACTGGAACCCAGATTGGACTTGTGACCCCAATGACGACTTTTTCGGCGACGCTAAAATCGTCTGATGCTAGGGGACCACTTGCTGAGTTGGTACCACCTCCTGCTAAGACGAAGCCCTCCAGCGTTCGAAGTTGACCCTCGACGTAGTTGAACCTCTGCTGAAAGTATTCAATCAAAGAGGAACGAGCCTTGGAAAAGACTTGGTTCTTTTCTTCCCATTCCTCAATCGTCTCATGAAGTCGCTTATTCAGCGCCTTTTGGATGTAGTTCTTGGTCACCTCCTAACTTGCTTCAGTGTTTGGAACATCGTTCGACGTCCAGGAAGTAAACTTCTCTATAACGTCAGCAGACTTGAGATATTTGGACAATGTACTCACAGCTTTGTCTGTCTTGTTTTCGAGGAACGTCTGCAGCTCTTTGCTTAATGTGCCTTGCTGCCTCCCAATACTTTCAAGACGGGCAGTGATGAACATCATCCTACTGATCACATCTTTACGATCTTTGGACGAATTACGAACGAACGCTTTCGTGTGGACGGCCATACGTGTGAGAAGATAGTCGAGCCACCTAAGAATAAAGCCATAAACTCAATCTTTTTCAATTGTCTTTCATGCTCCGTCACTATATTTATCTATGCAAAGCCCGGCTGGAGTGTTTGCCGGATTTTTTCGCATAGAGTTTACGTTGTCTACATTGTATTACATGTACCTCGCTTATGCTTTTTGTTTCCTGGAAGTGCATTTCTCGCAGCCAATCAGAATGAAAATTTTGCAATTTCTTAAATAACTATTTTGTTGCTATGGATTTAACACAATTTACCTCCACTGAATCTGTAGTCTTGCCTCAATACTTTTTAACACCCGGACTTGATACCGTTCATTAATTCACCAAACTCTTCCGTGACCACTCCAAGCTTCTGGGCTTCACTTGCAACTTTTGCTGACATATAAATTATCTGAGATTCTGGATTTAAACTAGGCCAGCACTTTTTGAGTTTACTGACGATGAAGTTCTTCACTTCATTAGTTTCTTCTGACGGCACCTGATCCCACTTGTTGCAAACAAACAGAGCACAGTTTGAGGAAGATTCTCTTTGTTTGTCAAGGGATACCTGTCTGGCGTGTTCGATAAGTTTTTCTACCTGAAGACAAAGAGACAAAAATTAGCTACTTGTCGACTTGTTTTTTTTTGGGCGGGGCTAGTTCAATAGTTATCTTTTCTTGGAAGGTTATGTCTTACGTTTATTGCTCTGCGAGAGAAAATCGTGTTCGTTAAGTTTCGTTAAATTACTCTTACACAAATCAAAAATAGAGGATTAAAAAAATTATACCATTTCTGCAATACCCATGCAGGTCCTAAATTTAACTATTTTGGCAAGAAGAATGTATTTGGCATTTTAAATTGCCTTACCCTGTCTCGCTGTATTCCACCGGCGTTTTCACTGTTGATGACGTAAATAAATGCAAAGCCTCTGGGAGGTACTTCTTTACTATGTCGTCCATTATACGAGATTCGCCAATTCCTGGACTGTCGACTATTACGACATTTTCCTAAAAGACATGTAAAATATGAGATGCAACAAGTAATGTATTGAAAATTAGGATCGCTCTCTGGAGTACGTTTCGGTTGTTTGTCATAAAACCAAAAC